AAACATACACTAGTTGGTTTATGCTTTGTGGTCTACATTCGCAATCATTCATCATCTTCTTCATTTGAAATTCAGATAAATGTTCTATACTATTAATTACATAATCAGGATAGCCATTTATATAAACAGAGGTGTATGAGAAAACACTCTTTCTCCACATATGAAGTGTGCGTTTTGGTATATTAATTACAAAAATACACAGGAATCTGTATGTTCCAAGAAATTGAAGACAATGTTTAACTATTTTGTTTGAAACAGCTTTATTAATCTCTACTAGTTCAATATGATCTTGTATTAGTCTTTTTCTCACAAGGTTTATTTAGTTTACGTAAATTTAAGTTTAAAATTGAACCTCAACCATCGAGATCGAAATCATTTGAACAAACAAGAACATTCCACCTGTTATTTTGCCGATAAATTATTATTCCAAACATTCCAATATTCTACATTAAAATTTTCCAAACAATGGTAAAGTTTCGTTGAATTTATTATTTGCTTTAAACTCAAGACTATCAGGACAATAAAAACATTAAGATTTTCAAACGGTCTTTTCATTGTTACAAAATAGACAATAAAACATCTAAAATTACCTGGTAATTATATAACAAAAGTCTATTATTACTGTTGTCTAACAAGAATTTAAGCACAAGATCATTTTTGTAGATAACCTACAACAATAATGAGCAGGTAATGAGTGTTGACTTTAAAATTCATTTTATGGTAAGTTGGACTTAAAGATGGAAGCTATTATCAATTAATAGTTACAAATTAATTCTCTTCTACTGAATTATTGATTCGCTCACTCACTTCATCCATATTGCACGATACATTCTACAAGTTACAGTCATAGCAGTTTTTTATAGAAAGTTTAAGAAAATCTAAGCAAGTGGAATCCTTGTATTTCAAAATTTTTATAGTTTAGATGGATTGTTTATTTTTTATTTATAAAACGCCAGCCTGAAGTCGATTACTTGAAAAAGCAATCCTTAAAATAGAAAGAATTATAGTACACATTCTATCGCCTCTAAATTTCATGTTGATTTTTGTTCAAATTGATATTGCGAGTCTAACAATAAATATTTGATATCATCATCATTATTTGATAAGATCTTGATTAAGATTTTTTTAATTCGTTTGACTCATATATTGACATTGCAGGGCATCTCAAAATGCAAACATATTTATTCCAGTAATTTCATCTTTGCCAGTTACAGACGTCAGCGTATTTCGCTTAATATAAACAATAAAACGCCTCAGATTTATGCAACAAGTCATTTCCGTTTCCTTAAATCAGTTAATAAGTAGGAGTATTCTGGGAGAGTTTATTTGATTAAGGTTGCTAAAAATAACTCTATAATTTCTGGTTAATCTTTGAGAACATAATAAACTACCTAGACGATAAACAAAGCTTGGGATTGACCTCTGTTAAAGGTAATGCGCTGATCAAAATTTATACTCATTTGCTTCTGAATTTTCAAATAAATTATGAGAAAAAAATTCAATGAAAAAATGACTGATTTAGACAACATGATATTATGGACATTTCACATTCTCATCAAGATCAAAATTAACGTAGGAACTTTTTTGATGGCAGCGTCATTTTCATCTTGAAAATATGTCATCTGGGTAGCATGACTAGCATAAGTAGATTACATTACCCTTAAGCAGATTACATTAAAGAAGACTTATCGAGCCTTTACAAAAATCGAGATGCCTGATGCCTCATCTCTACCTTAAGACTCTTAAAGAAAGTATGAAGCAACTAGTTTGAAGATTATTTCGAATATAAAAAATTTCCGATGCTATTCTCGATATTTTTTAATAAGGATTTTGGATGTCTGTCTGATACAAAGCTTATTTTATGTAATGCAATTTAAACTTTTTTATAAAAAAAATCAACGTAATTTCTCTAACGAACCATATCTGTTTACAGTGATTGTTTTTCTGATTGAAAATTAATTCTGGATTAGGTAGTTCGCTTTTTTTGGCAATTATGAAAAGTGGATTCAAATCCGATTAACTCACCTATACACAGAGTGTATCTTTAAGGGGGGGCTTCGAGGTTACATTAGTCTGTGAAAAAGTTCATTCAAAACAAACTTGATATGTGTTTCTAAATGTCAAAGGTAGCCTCTATGACATTTACTTTTGTATGGCCATGCCATTCATGGGATCTGAATCCACTTGAGGTGCACTATGAGTGACGTTTCAGCCATTAAGTTGGCAATAGAACGTGTCGTACAATAATTTGAGAATGAGAAAAAATGGCGCCATGGTTAGCTGTGGAGTTCTCGAATTGTGCGCATATTAACCAATTTAACCCAAATTGAAATAAACGACGAATGTGACTGGACATCCTCCCTGGAATATCAAGGCTGAGGCATAAATCGGCGATTATTTTGAACTGATGACGCGGTGACGTACTGTCTCATTATTTATTTAGTCTCCCAAATGTCTAGTCCCTCTCTGACGACAGGATCATTTAACAACGGTGCCAAATTAAGCGATACAATGCCAAGGCGGCATTGGGTTTTATGGTGTTTTGATTATTGAAAAATGTTTGTGAATTAAAGGCAATAATGTGAGTATTTATTAAAATTATTATTGTAAAGCATTGCTGCCAAATTTACAAAAAAATCTGTGAAATACAACTGCATGATAATTATTCTGCAGTCACAAAAATTCGGAATTCAAATGACAAAGTTCTAGATGCAAAATTTACTGTTACGAGATTGATGATTTTGAGTATCATTGAAGTGCGGATAACAATTTGCCGCTTTTAACCGTTTATCTATTACAATCATGAACTTGCGTCAATATGGATACTTCAATTTCTCAGTATCCACATTGCATAAACGTAAACTTACCAATTAGCAACTGCTTTCTAAGGCAATTTAATAACCTATTCAAATCAATATTACCTACTTCTCTGTAATTGCAGAGGTACTTATAATAATGTAACGGTTTGTTAAACTGTTCAGTTAAAATATATACGACAAGTCTCCTTTGCTTACGATAAGACATCAACATTAATACTAATTTACATCATGTAAAACCTTCTCAAATTGAAAAAAAAATCTTAATTCTATTAGCAACATGTGGTTACGAGTAGGTACATAACATGCCAATTGCTTTTGACTGAAACACTAACCTCGAACTTCCAAGTAACTCAAACAGTATTCTGACAAACAAAAGTCAATAAGCTTCCACTGGAACGCGTTTAAAATATTTCTATTTCATAGAACATCTGTCAAAAAAATAATTGGATCATGTTTTTAATTGTAATTTAGCGGCATAATGATCTACTCGCCAACGTAGCCAACTGTATATGGATGAGAGTTATTATTAAGCAAATTAGAAATCATATGACCTTGAAATTTGTCGTGTGACATTGTTTTCATTTGATTGGGTCTTTCAATTCCACAGAATAAGTTTGAATTTTTTAATTTTGAAGGAAAAAAATTAAAAAGATTACTTAAATAATAATGATGTAATGAGTGGAAAAATTGATATTTGGGGTCATCCATAAATTACGTCACACGTAAATGGGGAGGGAGGGTATTACCGAAATGTGACTATGTGTGACAAGGGGCAGGGGGGGTCAAAAGTTTTGTGACGTCACATGTTAAAATTTAAAATACTAAAACGCGAAATTTAGATGTGAATAAAAAACTATAAAAATCTACGAACTTGATCTATATTTATTAATAATTTAGCATTCTCGCTATATGAAATATTGGACTTTATGTTGATTTTATTAGATTATTTAATAAAAAAAAGTAAAACATGAAAATAGCTGTTTTCTCTAGATTATTTTTAAATGCATGCCTAAATTTAAAAAATGTGTGACGTCACATCAGGAGGGGGGATTATAAAAATGTGACAACCTGTGACAAGGACGGGGGGAGGGGTTCAAAAGTCCTAAAATTCGTGTGACGTAATTTATGGATGGCCCCTTTGGAATACCTTCTAGACTCTAGAATCTAGTGTCAATAATTCACCATATTGATAGATTAGACTTCGAGATAGAACAAAAAATTTCTCAAGTTCTAACACGACATTTTAAAGCTTTAAGTTAGATTCAAGAATGAAACTAATTAGCTAAAAATTTTATATCCTGTCCCGTATGCACTGTAAATTTAGGGACTTATGGAACAACAGAAAATAAGATTGTTTCCAATGGGCCATCTGCCTATCGTAGTTTTTGAGATACAGTTCAATTTTGGCAGCCTATTGAACACAATGAGCCTTAAAACTGGATTGGAAGTAAAAATTTCGTACGATGAGGGAAACCTCCATGAACTCCATCGATGGATATCTGGGAAACCGCTCAAGGATTTTTTTTGAAATTGTGGTGGTGTGGGGCCTACCAAGCTAAAATGTTTTCAAGGTCGATATCCAACATTTTCTTATTTTAAACAGAACCCCCTGTATATTATCGCATTTTTGAAAAGAGCATTTATTTTTAAGTTGAAAACATATAACACTCTCCGTACTTACGACTGACCATTTCCGAAATATTTTGATTTTTAGGCAAAAATTGACATATGCCAGACTGTCAGCAAAATTTAGTTTTCCTGGAAACGCAGGTTTATTTTTTTGTCGGAAATTTTGTAGAGGAAGACAATTTATCGAATTTGACATGAAAATTTTCCAGGTTTTATACGAGGTGGTAAAAAAAAATTATCGAATATGAAGTACAGAAAATGTGAAAAACTCGAAATTTTTAAATGGAAACCCCCAATTTTTTTAATGTATTCTGCACTAAAATTCATCCTGGCCCCCCTGCGTTATCGGTCCACTCGTTTTTTGTGCTTCTTTTTAGGGTTGCACCGCTCGCCTATTAGATATTGTCCATATCAATTTCTTGAAAATACCAGCAAGTAGAATGAGTCAAACTGCAGGGATTTCCGCATTTTAAATACAACTCGTAGATGTTACTGATAATTTCATGATTATTTTTAAATAAACACACCATTTAGTGTCACGTAAAAACTTACCTGTGATAACGGCTTGACTATTATGGGGTTTGAACACCCTTCTCTGTCCTTTCAAAATCCTCCTACCATTCACACACTTTTTACTAATCTGTTGTTGTCCCTGATCGTGGTTAACATTTTCGTTGTTCCCCTCACTTTCCTCATTTTCAAATTCTGCTACGTCGAACCCGAACCTGTCGATGAAACGCTTCCTGTCCACCTCGTATTGATCCTGCAACATCCGTTTCGTATCGGCCCGATCTGGGGCACCAAATAGACATTTCTTTACGGAATTGGCCCGGACGAATCTGTCCAAGTTTTCCTTTTCGTCGATCTTCCTCGGCTTCAGCACTCGCTGATCTTTGGTTTCGTAGACGAAGATTTTGCACACGATGGAATTCATCCTCACGCACGACTCAAGTCACCGGGATAACGTAAGCACTGACGCGGAGCTTTGCACAACCAAATCGTCGATGGGCTGGTGACGGTCTGACTGTGAAAGCTCCCATGCTTGTGAAAGGAACCGACATAACCCCCACCGTCGCGTGGTTGAGGGGACCGCGTGGACTGCAGCCAATCGGAGGTTGGAATGGATGGGAATGACGCACCGGGCAAGGTATGTGTGAATGGGATGTTCAGCCAGCTCCAAATTTGACAGAAATTTTTTTTTTGTTGGTTCACTCCATAGGATAACTCAAATTACTCAAATTTGGAAACTAGTAGTACAACCTGGGATCAAAGACCTCTTCATGGGTGTATAGGAGAGTCGAAGATAATTAAAAAAGGAAATTTTAGATGTTACCCAAATACTTTTTGCCATTATGTTCACACAATTTTCTTTAATTCGGTCTTTTCCTGTAGAGTAATTAGCTCTTGAAGTTAAGAATTGAAAAACTTATTTTCATTGTAATTTTTTTGTTTCTCATTAAATTTGTATGATTTTTTTATCAAATTTTTCATTTCATATTTATAAAAGTAATTTCGCATTGGCGCTATTCAACTTTGTTATTTTAAGTGGAACACCTTGTATATTATTACATTTTTGAATTCCTTGGTTAATATTAGGTAGAATTTATTAAATGTACATGGTGTTTAAAACTTACCGTTTTCGAGATATCTAATCAGTTGTTTTTGAAAAAAAAATCACAATTTCTGCTCTGTTCTGTGGAACACCCTGTATAAGAATTAAAATTTTTTTATTTTACTGCTAACAGTCACAAATCTGTAGAAAATAAGATTATACGATTTGATGACGTTTAGCGAATGTGCAGAACGTGTTTTGCCGAAAATATTCACATGTTGCGTTTTGAAGCCGCAACGACGATATCTTTTATTGAAAACATATATTCTATACTTCTCTTGTTAACTATATCTATATAAGGCTTAGGCCTTAATTAAATCTCGGTCTGTACAAAGAACAAATCAGGACTTCCTCTAGTGTACTCCTACACGAACCCCTTTCATAGTAATAACCGTCATTTAGACTTTTTTCTTAGGCTCCGTATTATTAGGCCAATCCCTACAAAGTTAAGCTTAGCAAACCGTAACCGCAGGTGTGCCAGGGCTTAAAATAGCGTGTCTTAAGATTTGAAACAATTACAGGAGGCTATGGCGCTTTTAGTTAAAGCAACGCAATCAGGGTAACACATGGGAAAAATTGGATTGCTTTGTCCCGTCGGGTTCGGGGGTGGTGAACACAGGAAAAGATTTATTTAAAAAATGCTAATATTTTATAAATATATAATTAGAAAATGTAGGCTTTCTCCAAGTTAGTGATCCGCTACTGGAAACATCATTTTCGTTTTCGTATTTAGAATATATTATTTTTGAGAAAATTCTGATACCTCTTTTTTTATAAAGCTTTTGCATTTTTGAAAGAATTATACGCAACTTTTAAAATTAAGTAATTTATTATTATATTTAACATGCTTTCCTTTATTTTGCCCCTGAAGTTTTCAAAAAAAGAAAAATTATATCTCTAAGTATCGTCTAAACTAATGAACAAAAGATATTTTGTGCACAATTCATGAAAAATATGGCATTTAATTAAATTCGTGTTTTATTTTGGACGGAAATGGTTTTTTTTTGGGAAGCTTCAAAGACAAATGTTTGTATGAGATTTTTTTAAAATTAAACAACGAAAATGCTCCTTCAATTTTGATAAATTGCTGTAAAGTTTTAAGTTTATCTAATCGTATCATGTTTATAAATTCCCAATTTGTTCCTACACGGGACAACTTTTGTAAAAACGTCAAAGATTTCTTTCATTCAGAATAAAATTTGAATTTAATTTCAGCTGACACTTAATTTTTTCATATTGAAATTTTGTTCCAAAAATTCAATTTGTTCAGAAGATAATTGGAGACATTCTTGTGAAAACAGCAACACCGAATATATCAAATGTATGCTTATTTTTGTGCTACACCCTGTATAAAGAGCAACATTCTTAAACTTGAACGATGAATAAATTCTTTTGATTTTTATATTAAACATAAACGAAAATAATTTCAGCTCTTTTATGAACAAAAACGCATTATATTGACGATAAATACTTGGATACAAAAAAAAACTGATCCTTTGTGAAACAATACCTGTTTACTGTGGGAACTATTTGAAGTTTTGCTACGTTTAGGGTGATGGCCGCCCCCAATTCTAATAGAATCGTTACAACTGAGTACATTTTAGTTAATGTGTCCGGTGTAATGCTATTAACACTAAATTATTGCATAACGGACGAAAGGCTGACGGGTGCATTCATTTAACTGTCGAATCGATAAATATGGGAAAATACTCCACAGATAAGACAAGACAAGGGATACAAAAATGTCCACACTAATCTGTAAAGTGTACAGCAATTTTTTTTTTCTTCCTTTTGTAACTTTAATACGTGTTAATCTTTATCCGAATTATACAGGGTGTTTCTTAATAACGTGCTAATATTTAAGGAGGTTATTCTTGGGTCCATTTTAAGAAAAAACTTCATATGAACATATGTCTTAAAAGTCTTAACTTTTGAACTACAGGGTGCTAAAATTTTATGAAAAAAACATTTTTTTGTGATAACTGGTATTACCTACCCTAGATATTTTTTTTCAAATTTGGTACACGTCTTCTATTCATCAAGATGCATTTTCTGATGTACAAACAATTTTATTATTTTTGCCAGTGGCGTCTGTACAGGTTTTGTATTGAATACTTTTGAAGAAAAATATGTTACGCCACTGCTTTTTTCTTAAAGTAAAAATCAATTTTGAAATCCTCATTCCTTGCTGAGCAAATGTGGTATCTTGAATTTTTTTTGTTTGAAATTATCAAATTACAGTAATCTACATACATTTTGGAATGGTAAAAGAAAATTACCCTGGCATGGCGTAACATATTTTTTTTCAGAAATATTCAATACAAAACCTGTACAGACGCCACTGGCAAAAATAATATAATTGTTTGTACATCAGAAAATGCATCTCGATGAATAGAAGGCGTGTATCAAATTTGAAAAAATATCTAGGGTAATACCAAAGTTATCATAAAATAATGTTTTTTCATAAAACTTTCGCACCCTGTAGTTCAAAAGTTATGACTTTTAGGACATATGTTCACATGAAGTTTTTTTCTTAAAATGGACCCAAGAATAACCTCCTTAAATATTAGCACGTTATTAAGAAACATCTTGTATATATCCCAAAGTGGGGCCCTACATTTCGAAAAAAATTAATATTTCTACAACACTACCGTAGAAGAACCAAATTTGGTACATGATTTAGGTTCATTACTGGTCTTCTTTGACTATGATTTAAAGTTAATTGAAGCACTACAAGCTGTTCATTGCGGATGACTCGCCCCTAAAATTGTACCGAACTTTATTTTCATTCACCGATTAATTCACAGCAAAATTTAATTTAATTTTTTTTTCGCTTTAAATTTTAAAAACTATGGTTTTCAAGAAAAACGTATTAACTGACACAAGATTGTAACAGTGTTCATTAGAAAATAATCAAAAAGTCAGTAGTAGGCTTTATCTTTCAAATTTGAAGTATGAGTAAAAAATGACTCAATAATAGTTAAATTTTAATCAAATTAGAGAAAAAGTCAACTCTAAATTGGTTTTATATGGCTCAATTGATAGTTAGCAGTAACTGGAATTTGAGTAAAACTTGCTCATTTCAGAAGCAATAGTTTCACTCAGTTGTACTCGTACTAATAGAGTGAAAATTTCACTCAATCGAGTGTGGAGAGAAATTAATACAATACTGAGTAAAATTGAGTGAAATTTGAGTGAAATTTTTTATAGTATAAAAAATCCATAGTCTTGATAAAGTTGCAGCTAACATTTCCTTTTCGTTGGATGAAGTATTGTTGTTAATGAAATACACTTATCCATTAATTTCAAGGTTAGTAGCTTGTTGATACTTATTTTGTTATAAACGTATACTGTATATAGTGAATCAAACTAAATAACATAAACAATAATATATTTGTATATAATTGAATCATTTTTATGTGTAAGATTTATTTTACAAAATAATGGCAACCACTATCATCAAATTAGATATCCAAAAAACAACTAATTTGCAATAAATACAATACAAATACAATTTTTATAGGAATATGACTCCTTTATTACCTTTGTATCAAGTCAAACTGAAAAATGTTTCAAATTATTCACAAGGAAAGGAAAGTTCTTAGCACAACAATTCATTTATTTAATTGCAATAAAAAGCAATGTCCTTGAAACCATTATTTGTTGTAACAGATGTCCACGTTTTAATGTATTTTACTATGAAGAAAATCTAAATCACTTCTCAAAACGTTTTTATATCAAACAGGTCATCCCGTACAACGTTTTCCATAAAATAAATCTCCAGAGACGTTGATGTGTTCGTCATTATTAGTGTTAGTGTGTGCGTTATGGTGCATGATTTGTAACCGTCATCGTCAGCGGGCCATGACGGCACTAGTCCGTACTTTACTGGTAATTTTTTATACATCCTGTCTCCACATATTGCACACTCCCTCGCTCCTGGCAACAAGGTAAATCAGGGAAGAGGCCGCCGCAACTGCATTTGTCATTATACTTACAGCGCTTTAAACAGGATACGCCTAAAAACTAGCGTCTGCCCCACATCAATCTGTTCATTTCGTATAAATGATTCTAAAAATAAACGTTAATAGTTCTGATGGTTATTTTTACTGAATATCGTCGTTTATTATTATTTTTTTAATATACAGGGTGATTCCGGAGGAACGGGAAGTATTGCAGGGGTAGATTCAATGGGTCAAAATAAGAAAATAAACTCATACGTTGAAATAACTAAATATTTATTTTTTTATGCACAACGAACTTTCTTCCAAAAGTCAGGCCTGTTCCTTATTTAACAAATCAATCACATAGCCGAGCAAAAAACGCATGCGCTATTGAGGATCGCAATCCTATGTTTAGCCGCCAATCAAATAGTCCAGTCATTTAAGCTAAAAT